CAGCTAGACAGCTACAAATACATGATAGTTTCTTCATGTATAACAAGAGAAGAAGAAAAAATATGAAAAGAAACCAGCTAATAGTAGTTTAGTTCATACTGACCACAGAGTGAATTCCAAGAACATTACATCTAATTAACCCTGGTAAACAAGATTTCTCATTTCAAATCTTTAAAAGAAAGTAATAACAATAATTTACAAAACAAGTTGAACAAAATAAGTACCTATAAAACAGAAACATTATCTGAAACACTGGGGAAGGACTGGTATGAGCACCAAACCAGAAAGAGTTCATACTTTCTGAAACCTTGCTCAAAGCTCACTCTTTCAAAAAATAAACCAGACATCACCCCGACAAGCTATTGTATCAGTATAGATGTTTTCCCAAGTAAGAAATATGACTACATGGGTACCACCCCAAAAAACCTTATTTCCATGCAAATCAAGAACTTTCTTCTGACTTCTGCAAGGTTTACTTCTGCAAGGTACTTTGTGTTTGGTTTGGTTTGTCCATTTAAAATATAGGTTTCTTGGGTCAAGGAGTGTGACTTCCTGTGTATTTTGAACACAGCCCAGATCATGGCTACAAGATTACAAATAAATAATACCACTACCCAACTCCAAGATTACTTCAAATTTAAGACAACCTCCCACTAATTAGATTCTATACATGGAAAATTATAAATATGTTATAGTTTTCCATGTAAAGAAATGTATTAGCAGGGGGTCATTTTAAATTCACCCCCTTCACTGTTGTTGTGGGGAAAACAGCAGCAGAGGACGAAAGCCCAGACTCCCGCCTCTTGACCCCCTGCCCCTTGCCCTCCCTTGCCTGTTCTCTCCCCGCCCTCTGGTGCCTGTCTTCTGCTCCCATGCTTGTTCCTGCTCCCCCACTCCTTGCCTCATCCACCCTTTACTCCCCTCCTGCATCCTGCCCCTCCACCCCTTGCCCCATTCTGTTCTTGACCCCCACTCCCTGTTTTGCTGCTGTTGCAGCTCTGCTTTGGCTCCAGAGCAGCTAGCAGCACTGGAAGCCTCCAGCCAACCCACAGCCCAGCCCACTCAGGCAGAAGCAGGGCTGGAGGAACCAGAGAGGGCGGTGCAGTTGGGGGTGGAGATGGGTGGTGCAGTTTCTCTTATGCTTCCCCCAAGCCACACACTTGGTTGTCCTCCAGCCCACCCCTATGGTCTCCCCAACATTCCCCTGTCTATAAGCTGCCCTCCCCACCCCCCAAGTCAGAGCTGAGCTGCTACCTGCCCCCAGTTGCTGCTCAAATCCAAGATAAGGGTTTTTCTTCCCCATGATGACTGGGGTAAAAAACCTCATCTGGATTTAATATGGTATTATTACAGAGCACTTTTAAAAAAAAAGTTTCAGCTCTGATAAAATATTTGTGTTACCAATAATAATGCCCTTCACTGAGAACTCTGTACCTGGCACTTCAATGGAAAACTAGGCCCATATTTGTAATTAGTCTCCTAATAAGTTCCTTCTTTGTTGGTTCTTGTTAGTCACACATTCAGCTCTGAACATTGAGCAGGTATCTCTGTAATATCAGTAATCACCATTTCTTAATATTGCCAAAAATAGCACATACACTTTTTTATTGCATAGTGGACCAAATTCTTATCTCTGTTCCACTGCTGTATCCCGTAGTAACATTGTTAAAGTCAGTGGTGTCAGAAAGATCATGATTTGATCCTGGGCCATTACTTTGCCTCAGGTACTCACTTGAGGGCCAACAGAGCTGTATTACATTCCAACTAAACTGTGTCTATTTCAGACATTTTACTCTCTACAAAATGTCAAGCTTCAACTATGTCACTATTGGACAGGTCACACAACTGTCAAGACCTAGGTGCGTGACCTTATTAACTATAGAGAAATGCGAGACTGAAAGTCTGACTCCAAGTTGTCATGAATGTTTGTGGTCTGGAACAGCAGATGTCTTGAGCCTTTGCCATCAAAATGAGCTTAAGAAGTTCTCTTTTGGAACTGCCAATTTTTTTTTTATATCTTCCAAACTTTACGAACCAGAATTTCCAGAAGAGGTATAGCCTACAAAATTGCTCTGACTTTTGAAAGGTGGGAGAAATGTATTTACTTGCATATTTTGATTTGTATAAAGTAATTATCCTGACAGTTTTGCCTTTGCATAAAGTACTTATCCTGACAGTGTTAGTGGTTGTTAGTTTTTTAGCAATTAAAATGAGCAAAACATGGATATCAAATGTTTAAAAAAATCCATAAAAATCTTCTTGGACTGTTAAAAACTTGACATCTTTTGTAGATCCAGATAGCATCTGTACTGATACAATAGCTTGTTGGGGTGATGTCTGGTTTATTTTTTGAAAGAACAGAGCTGTCTAAACTGACTGCATGGGAAACATTAGCTATTAACAGATGGTTGCTGTTTTATCTTTAGTACGTTGGCTCATAAGAGTATGAATCTGGTTGTCTTTTTTAAAACTCTACTGTGCTTTATCCATGCTTTTTGTAAGGCTGATAAGAATCTGGAATGAATGAAAACTAGATAGGCTCTCTTTGGATGGTCCTCTAAATCACGCATGTAGATCAGGGGTAGGCAACGTTTTTTGGCCGGAGTGCTGAAAAACACCACAGTGCCTACCTCGGAAGGTGCTGGAGTGCCGGCGTGGCAGAAAAACAGAATGAAGGCAAGGGGTACATGGCAGGATGCCCTGCTTGTGCCCCTTGCCCCCCACCCAAAGCCCCTGCCTCCCAGCCCTGCTGCCCTTTGCCCCCCACCCAAAGCCCCTACCCCCCAGCCCGGGCTCTGTGGCTGCCAGCAGCTACTCTTGCTCGGGGTAGCTGCTGGAGCCTGGGCTGCTTCCAGCAGGGCTTGCAGCATCCCAGCTGCCTGCTGGGAGCAGCCCAGGATCCTGGCTGGCAGCAGCTCCCAGAGCTGGGAGGCTACAAACAGCTGTGCCAGGCTCCGGCATCAGCTCTGCACCAGTGCGTGTACCTGCGTGTTGGAGCGGGCGGTAGGGGAGGGGCCTGAGGCAGCGCAGCCCTGGTCTCTCCCCTGCTCCCAGCACGGAGGTGATGGCAGGGTTCCGGAGCTCGGCACAGCTGTTTTTAGCCAGCCCAGGCTCTGGGCAGCTGCAGCAAGCAGCAAGCAGGCTGCAAACATCTTTGCCGGGCTCTACAGCTCTGGCATCAGCTCCATGCTGGCGGTGACTGCACGGGCACCTCGGGGCAGACAGCGGGGCAGTGCAGCCCGCCCCGAGGTGCACGTAAAGTCGCCACCAGCACGGAGCTGATGCCAGAGCTTAGAGCCAGGTGCAGCTGTTTGCAGCCTGCCATCACCTCCGTGCCAGAAGCAGGGGAGAGACCTGGGCTGCGCTGCCTCAGACCCCTCCCTATCACTCACTCCGACGCGCAGATGCACGAGCCGGTGCGGAGCTGGAGCCCGGCACAGCTGTTTGGAGCCTCCTGACTCTGGGGAGCTGCTGCCAGCCGGGATCCCGGGCTGCTCACAGCAGGCAGCTGGGACGCTGCAAGCCCTGCTGGGAGCAGCCTGGGCTCCATCGCTGGCAGCAGCTACGCAGAGCTGGGGCTGGCCGTGGCATGCCAAACAAAATGGCTTCACATGCCATGCTCGGCACGCATGTCAAGGGTTGCCAACCCCTGATGTAGATGCTTGGTTCATAACTGGTTAATTGTAGAATATCTTCATTATGATGAAACATCTTTCTCCTGCTATTTCATCCCCTAAACAAAACTCAAGCTCCCTTTTTTCCTTATTCCAGTCAACACCTTTTCTATGTGCTTATAACTCCTTAGTTCATCTAGGTGGACTCAGGGGTCCGAGTTAGGGAGTTAGGGACTTAGGCTGGAATCCAGGGCTGTGCAGTGGAATGATAGGTCAATAACATAACAAAACTGAAGTATATGAGAGGTCAGAGTAATTCCGTCAGCTAAACTGGGTGAAATATAATGCGTTTGCCATGAATTGCTAGAGTCCTCATGTTTAATTCTTAAAATTTCAGAAGCGGCCTGTGTCCCAGAGAACATATATAAATGTGCATCATCATGAATATGATGACTGATAGGCCTGGAGTTTGTTGGTTTGAAGTTGATGGAACCTGAAATGTGAGGAGATCAACAGGGCAACATTACAGAGGGAACAGTATAAAAGGTTTCTTTTGCAACAGTGAAAAACTTTGAAGAATTATATTAAAATTAGCTGTCCTCTGAAAAATTAATGTGTCAAATCTAGAGATTAAATTTGCTCATAGAGTGTAAAACAGAGATTTCAGTCTTCTTTTAAGAGGAAATCCTAATGCAGCACAGTTTTAGTCATGCAGTGGCTTCCAATGCTTCCCTAATATGCCACAGTTACAATTTTTTAATGTATGATTTTCACCTCTTCATTAGACTAAATTGAGTAGTGGAACATGACCCTGACTAACTCATGTCTTCAAACAGAACACTAGCTGATCACTATACTAGCACAGGAAGTAGAGTCCATGATCAGTGAGGATTCAATGGGACCCTCTCAATCTTCAAAATATCCCACCCGCTAAGCTCAAGTGTCAGTCATCTCAGCAATTCCCATAGCATAGCAAGGAAAATCTCTAGCCATCTGAAGAAAATCAACCTGATGAAAATGAAGGGATTACTTCTGAAAGATCTAAATAGAAAACTAAATAGAAGACTAATAATATCCCTTTCCATTGCCTGTTGATGAAATTAGCTTTAACCAATCAAAGATATACATACAGAGCTAGCATCTGCTAAGGTTGTAAGATAAGGTCTTTGCTCTGCTGGACATCTTTTTTGGAGAAAACACAGCAGTTAGAATTAAATTACAGTACACCAAGCACACCATTAGCATATCCTCCCCAGAACAACCCCTCTCTCTCAATTCTCCCTCCAGATGGCAAACTCCCTTTTATTATAAATTAGCTGAGCCAATATCTGGCCAAACATTCATGCTTTCATAATTTGCATCTAAGGTGGGCTTACTGCAACTCACCAAACAAAGCTTGTGGATTGACATGCCTTTTTTGCCTTAAAAAGGCTCCTGGAAGTTCTCTCCTCTTGGCCGAGGCAGTGAAAAGTAGAATTTGTCCGGACAGAAGGAGGAAGCATGCAATCATTTTCTTCATTTTCAGAAAGAAGATGGACAACCGAGGATACCAAACTGTAACAGAGAAGAAGAGTGAAATGAACTCTCTGAATGCAATAGATTCATGATCCTGGCCACCACCCTGGTTCCACTGCTCCCCTTCTGTCATGCAAGCATCCAGTTATGCAGATGAAAAATGGGTCTTATATCTCCAATAAAGAAGGTCTATGTAAACATGAATTTCAGTCAGCAAACTTCAGTCTGGTCTTTTTAAGAATGCTATAAATATATCACTTTTATAGCTGACATTTAAAATAAATTCAAAAAAAGCATTCAAAAGAAACAAATGGATGGAAACATAGAAAAGGGACTTTCACTCAGTGTTCCTATCACCTTGTACAAGTAGATTTGGGATATATATTATCATGCTTAAAACCCTGATCTGTTTGTGACTGGAAAATATTTTCCCAAGATATATGTCACCTCAGCTCTATCTTTGCCTCCTCTATGCCTTCCCTCTTCCCCATCCCACAAACAGCTCGCTCATGTTGATTGCCATAAAGGAGGCATCCCGTAGTAGTAATGGTATGATGATGAAGCTGAGCCAACTGCCCTAAAAGATGTGCAGACTGATAGGCAAAACTATACTCTTTTCCTAGAAAAAAAATCCATTTAACATGGAACAAGATGGCAAAATTTCACAGGCAACATTAAATATTATCAGCACTTTTTAATTACACTTGTTATTGAAACTGTGTTTTCCAAGATGCTGACAATGTTTTTATACATTGCCCCAAGTCTGCTGTGTAGAATCACACTAAGAATCATGTTTGGCTCCTGGTCTCTCCCAGGGCCTAGCTCCCTAAGAGTATACCTACATTATGTCCTCAGGACTCCCCAGCAGCATTGTTCTCAAGCACTCCCACACACCCACTCACTCCCATTCACATATGCCTGGATATGAAGATGTGAAGCTGCTCTATGGCACTACCTTCTGTAGTCCAAGTATTGCAAAGAAAGAGTGCATGCTACAGGATAAAGTCTGTTAAATCTGTTCCTTTGTAGATAAGAGAGGAAGCCCTGCTGTTAGACATCATGGCTAAGTACAGATGTTCAAAAAGCCCAAGAAGGAAGCGCTCTATCATGCTTTACTTAAAGCGGTTTAAGTTTGAATAGGAGCAAACCAAATAGACATTTCCCATTCAGTGGGGGGAGGAGGAGGGGCCCGCCAGTGCTGGTCAAGGCCAGCAGGTAGGGGGCACACTGGAATGCCTCCCAATGTGCCCTGCGGGCTCCCCCAGCTGCCAGACTCCCAAGTGGAGCCAAATGGGTAAATTCCCCAAGCTTGGCTGCTGGGCATGGGCCACCACACCCCCAACCCTCTGCTGTGTCACCACAGACACTCCTTTGTGCCTAGCCCAAGGCTTCCAGAACAGCCCCAGAGTGAGCACAAGTATCTGCTGTCATGACTTGCACGTGCCTCTGTGCTGGCCTGCCCACACCCTGCCACAGCGTCCTGCTTCCTGCGCCTAAGCAGGGAGACCCAGGAACTGCATCAGGTGCTGCTGGCTGCCCTGCTTAACACTCACTGGAGGCTGAAGAACATCTCATATGACCACCTGGACTTGATGCAGCAGCAGCTTGAAATGGTGTGTGCCCTCAGGTCCACGAGTCACCATTTGGCCATCCCATGCATGCCCACCCACCACACCCTGCATCTGTCAAGTGTCCAAGACTGGGCCCCTGATTTTCACATGGCCAATGAGGACAAGGACATTCAGGATGCCAAGGATGCTGAAGTGCTCTGGCACCACCTCCCGACTGTCAAGCGCTGGTTCTGTGCCTGTGCCACCAGTACTGAATGGTGGGAGTAGATCATCCCAGGCACCTGGGATGACAAACAGTGAGTCCATACCTTCTGCAGGTGCTAGACCACTTTCCTGGATCTCATGGTCCTGGTTGCCTCCCACATCACACACCAGGATATTAGCATGTGGCCACCCCTCACTCAGAGAAGAGGGTGGCTACCCGCAACAGTTACCGCTATGTCACTAATCAGTTCAGCATGGGCTAGACTACATCCAAAGAGGCCATGAGGGAGGTATGCCTAGTCATGCAGGACATCCTGACCAACTAGTTTATCCACCTTATATGGTGGAGGTAGTTGCAGGCTTCTGCTGCATGGGCTTCCCCCACTGTGTGGGGGCTGTTGACAGCACCCACATCCCCATCCTCTACCCAGTGCAGGCCGCCCAGGCATTCATCAGCTGCAAGACATACTTCTCCATTGTCCTGCAGGGTATCATCGAACATTGGGGCTGCTTCATCTATATGTTTGCAGGCTGGGCAGGCACCGCCCATGATGCCTGCATCTTCCACAACTCCCCACTTCCTGAGCTCATGAAGAGTGGGTACTACACTCTTGGGGTCCCCAATTTCGTCATTGGCAGCATTGTTGTCCCCTCCTCCCATCATCAGGAACATGACCTATTCCCTTCAGCCCTGGCTGATGAAGCCCTAATGCAGAGGGTGCAGCTGGACTGCTGGAAGGAGCGCTTCAACTACTGCCTGAACAGGTGCTGCATAACAATGAAGCGTGCCTTCAGCTACCTTAGGGCATGCTAGCAGGCTCTCAGCGTGCACTTCAAGTGGATGAGGTGAATCTGAGGTGACTCATTGTTGCTATATTTGTCCTCCACAACATCTGAGAGACCAGGAAGGAGGTCTTCCACAAAGGCCAGGGTGAGGGCATATTTATACCCAGCATCGGAGTTGATCTAGTAAAGGATCACCTTGAGAGGCTGGATACCTTTAAGTCAGCTGGTCCTGACAGACTACACTCTAGGGCAGGGGTGGGTAATTATTTCAGGCAGAGGGTCACTTACTGAGTTTTGGCAAGCCATCGAGGGCTGCATGACAGGCAGCCAGAGGCAGATAAATATTAATTTTCTAAATTTTTTAGGGGCCCTGCGGGCCAGATAGAATGGCCTGGCAGGCCGCATCCAGCCCCTGGGCCGCATTTTGCCCACCCCTGCCCTATGGTACTCAAGGAGCTGGCAGGTGTCATAGCTCAGCCATTGGCAAAAATTTTTGAAAATTCATGGTGTTCAGGTGAAGTACCTGAAGACTGGAAGAAGGCCAATGTGGTACCCATCTTTAAGAAAGGGTGGAAAGTAGATCCTGGGAATTACAGGTCAATCAGCTTGACCTCAATCCCTGGTAAGATTCTTAAGAAAATTATCAAGCAGACCCTTTTGGACAAGCTGGCCAAGGGCAACATCCTGAGGGAGAGCCAGCACAGGTTTGTCGTGGGTAGATTTTGCTTGACCAATCTCATCTCCTTCTATGACCAGGTTACATATCACTTGGACAAGGGAGAAGAGATTGATGTCATATACCTGGACTTTAAAGAAGCCTTTGATCTGGTGTCCCATGACCTCTGCATGGGAAAATTGGCCAAATGTGGCCTCGGCTACACCACAGTCCAATGGCTGGGAAATTGGGTCTGAGGTCGGACCCAGAGAGTAGTGGTTGATGGCGGCGAGTCATTATGGCGCTCCATAACCAATGGCATTCCACAAGGCTCTGTTCTTGGATTGGTTCTCATCAACATCTTTATCAATGATGTGGACATTGATGTCAGAAGCACACTAGCTAAGTTCGCTGATGACACTAAACTTTGGGGCATAGCATCCACGCCTCAGGACAGGATGGTGATCCAGGCTGACTTGGATAAGCTTAGTAAATGGGCGGACACAAACCTGATGACGTTCAATACTTATAAATGCAAGGTACTCCACCTCGGGAAAAAACCCCCGTGGCATACTTGTAGGCTCAGCAGCACTATGCTTGCTAGCACCACTGCTGAAAGAGACTTAGGGGTCATGACTGACCACAAGATGAACATGAGCCACCAATGTGGTGTCGGAGCTGGTAAAGCAAACAAAACCCTGTCTTGCATCTATAGATGCTTCTCAAGTAAATCTCAGGATGTCATCCTCCTGCTGTACTCAGCTTCGGTGAGGCCACACCTGGAGTACTGCATCCAGTTCTGGGCTCTGCAATTCATGAAGGATTTGGAGAAGCTTGAGAGAGTCCAGAGGAGAGCCACATGCATGATCAGAGGGCAAGAGAATAGGCCTTATGAAGAGAGGCTGAGCGCCATGGGACTCTTTAGTCTGGAAAAGCTCAGGCTCGGGGGGGGACCCAGTGGCTACCTATAAGTACACAGGGGTGTTGTGGGAGAACATCTGTTCACCAGAGCACCCCAAGGAAAAACAAGGACAAACAGTCATAAACTCCTACAAGACCATTTTAGGCTGGACATAAGAAAATTTTTTTTTACTATCCGAGCCCCCAAGACCTGGGATAGACTCCCTCCAGACATGGTGAAGGCACCTACTCTGGACTTATTCAAGAAACACTTATGTGCTTATCTTGCTGAGGTTCTTTGACCCTAGCTAACTTCCTGTCCCTGGGGCAGGGGGCTGGACTTGATGATCTTTGAGGTCCCTTCCAGCCCTAACATCTATGAAAGTCCAGGCTGCGGCACAGCATGTGGATCGGGCCTGGCAGTGCGAGCATGTGGCACATGGATGTGGGAAAGGATGAGTCCCCCAGCAATGCTGGCAGCCCCAGCCCCACACAGCAGCAGGCTGCCCAGAACCACGAAACTCTGGCTGACTATCTCCTCATCCTTGCAGACTGGGAGCCCTCTCGGCATGAGAAGAGGAAAAGGGCTTTGAGCGCCCATGTTTTGGACCTCTGACTCTTCCACACATGATCCGTGCCCCCTTGGCCCTCATCCCCAAGGCCCAGTCTCTCCCTTTGAGGACTCCAGACCCAGGTCCCTTGCCCATGCCTAGGGCTTGTGTCATGCAGCTAGACTGAGTCTGGGGGCTGCGTATTACCACTAAGGCTATGCCGCTCCCCCACAGTGGGACCTGGGCCAGGGTTGGGGCCACAGGGAATGAAAGAACTCCCTCCTGGGCCCCACGGTGGGTGGGTAGATGAGCTGAGGCTGGTGGGCTCTTTTGCCAGACATTGTCCCAGCAATAGCCTGGCCTGACAGGCTG